CTTGCCTTTACCATCTAGCCTGTCTGCTTTACGTGGATCGTTTTGGTCTGTTCGCACGTTTTAACAGTTTCATCTTTTCTTCTTGTTACGAATAATCTTCAGCTTCCTCGCTCCTCCAGCAATTGTCCGATGTTTCATTATCGCGTCAGCTCGAAGCAAGCTTTCACAGGGACGATTCCATCCCGTTGCATCGAATGTGTTCTCCCTTGTCGTTCGGGCGCAATCCCGACGTGTCGAAAGACACACCATATCAAAATGCGACGAACCATGACTACAGTGCAGATCTGCTTAGCGTTGTTACGCCACTCGGGGGGAGATGTAACTGCATTACAGGTAATCAACCCATTGACCTGAACTCTCTCGACCTCGACAAGTTCAGCTGACGGCCTCTCCGCAGCGTTCCTCTTCCTCTCGAATGTTTGTCAACGTTACAGTCTGTCGCTCTGCGTGCTCGTCAACAGTTTTCCTCGCAACATCTTCATCCGGCTCTCCCTCTGATTTTCCTCCAGTTTCAAAGTGTTTCAACTGAGCGCTGAAAAATCGCTCGAGACGGCTGCCTCGACGACTATTGTCGCTCGTGCCAGTCAACCCCCTTTTACTTTCTTCTTACACTTTGAAACACGTTGCTCCTCTTCCTTTAAGATTTGAAAACGAAATGGGCGTAAGCGCGCGACTAATTTCACTTGCTCCGAGGAAGATTATTCGACAGAGAGAATGTAAATTTCTCACATCCTTGATAATTGTGACTTTCAACTTACAATTTCTCTTTCATAACGTTTTTGGATTCCTCAATTATTTTACAACTGACATTCAACGCCGGGGATATACCGCTGTTGTACCGTTAAATCATATAAATTTGATGTTAAATTATTCAAAATTTCTCCGGTTAAATTCAAGATTCAATATTTTCAGAAATAAAATTTTGCCGCTCTTTGACATCTCTTAATTTCATCAATCTTCAAAAGTTCTGATGGTTGTCGGATTCAACGGTTCTCTTTCTTCAACATTATATTATGTTCCATAATTTTATAATTTAATTTAAATCGTTAAAGTTATTACTGTCGCGATTGAATTATTTAAGATTCGTTTCAAGAGTAAAATCCGTTGACATTTCACAATTTCATTATTGATTGCTATCGGTTACTGCTTCGGCCGAAAGCAAAAGAGCATTTTTGAATCAGCTACAACTGGCGGCGGCAAAACTTGCGCACGAAGTTTCAGAAATTAAATCACCTCGCATCTCTGTCGTGATATTTAACGCATCGTTTTACGATTCTATTTCCACGGAAATAATATAGCCGAGGGCACAGGGAATATTGTTTTATCATGACATCGTTATACCGATTACAGATGGGAACACTGAGAGACTAATGTATAACGAAGCACTTTGATAGCGTTTAATGGAATTTTGTATGAAGCAGCCGTCAGGGGTGTTACGTTGTTTATAATACGGTTGGACATCAGTGGAACATCGCGGCAATTAATCATCGTTGATTATCGACTGCCTTATACGGGAAAAGGCAAGAGAATCGACGCGAATCGATTATTCTTAACCCGTAGTGACGCTCTCTCCTTCTTTCGTTTCACTAAATAAGGAAAAAGAGAGAAAAGAGGCTGTGTAGACACGGCAAACTTCACAAACGGACGTTCTAATTCGCTTGTTGTGTCCGTTAATGAAGGGACTCTTATCTCGCAGAATGATTGTTGACGAAAGAAAGAAACACCGGAAACAATGCCGCGCTCCTATTTCCGCTGTCATCGCATTCTGTTAGTTCAGCGACTAAATAAAATTCCATGTTACTCGGGAAAGATACTCGGTCAGCAAACTTTCCCAACATTTTCTACCTGAATCTTTCGCAACTTCTTTACGAAGTTACGAGTTCGAAGTAAGTACCTCCGAGAGAGAGATAAGGAAATTCTTTTCCATTCGGCCAGTCTGTGTGCATGTGCGCGCGCGCATGTTTGCGTGTGCATGTCTGTTTACTTTTAATTAGCGGTTCGTGTTGCATTTCAGTTATGCAGATTCTAAATACTTGGAAACTCGAGAGTTGACGTTTTGCAACAACCCGGTGAGACTTCAATTTATTCCGAAAGTTTTCTGATCGCTGCACCCTCGTTGTTTTCGGAACGCTGTTCCATTCTCGATTCATTCCTTGCCGTCTTCTTCATCGAGATATGCAGGGAGATCTCCTCGGCCAGCTAGAAAATACCAACCTTTAGAAAGAGGGATTAGCCCGGCGAAGAGTAAAAAAAAAAAAAAAAAAGTTGCATCCTCATCAGAGTTTCTAGCGCTTTATCTGCATAATGTCTCGTACACCGGTGGCTATTAAAAAGTAAATACACTTGGCGGACTGCTGGGTGTCTCGTAAGGTGACATCGCGCTTATCTTTTCTTTGGAACGTTGCTTAAACCTTCGTAGGGATTTACGGCGAGACAAGGAATTACTTCGACTCTTTGGAATTGGATCTTTACGATTATTTATAGCGTTTTATTTATCTCGCGAAGACGAGGGGCAAAGCTGTTCCACTATATTTTATTCATTTAAACCTTGCGTCATCCCTCTCACAAGCTGACGTGGCTAACTCCAGTTTTTATCAATTTTTCAATTTTACCACGAAAGTGTGGGATTTATGCTCAATTTTCAAGGAATAAACGACTTACTTCCACGAGTTCATCTATTACCAGGAAATGATATAAATAACAGCGAATTCCAAGCTGAATTTTTAAAAAAATAGCGTTTGTAGCGTCGCCATTAGATTATTTTAGAATTTTTATGTAAATTCGTATTTTCTTTTTTTTGGGAGGGGGGGGGGAGAAGTAAATTATAACAGATACTCAATTTTTGATATTTTACGTATTTTTCTGTACTGCGTGCCACGCATTTTTGTTGCTTTAAAACTCCCATAAATGCATGAAAGTGCTGCTTTCAGCTTATGAAATTGATCTGCGTGAATTTTAAACGGCTTGTAACGCATCATTTTTACATTGTTGCGCGAAATTTATTTGCTCGCGAGAAAACATTAAATAAATAGATAAAAGGTGTATTAAACTACGGGTAGCCGGGATAATATTCGCGTAAAAAGCCGAGAAACCGCTCGGAAACAATATTGCGATAGTTCTCCGAGAGCAATAGAAGTTTGTATTGCGGCAGGCTAGTCTCTCTCTCTCGTAAGTGGAAACGCGGTAGCAAGTAGTTGGCGAGCATGTTTGCTTCATACATTATCGTTTAAAAAAAAAAAAAGGGCTGATATCGTTCCTCTGTTTTGCAAACACTCTCCTTCTTTGCTTCTTACAATTCGCTTAACCTCCTTTCACATTTCACTCTCGAGTTTTTAAACGCGACTCGACGCAACGTTTTATGGATTGCGGCGACGTTTATTGGAAAAGTAGAGAAGAATCTGTTTTCTTTTTCCCCCATAGAAAACGAGAAGGTTGTTTCAACAGTACGCGTAGCTCGTTTTTTTTCTTTTTTCGCTTTTGATTTATACTTTATTTCATCGAAATATCAGTTTCCCCTGCACGTTGGTTTTTCAAATCGTTCCGCTGGATTAAAAGCAATTTTCGTGATTGAAAGCAGCGTTCAAGAATAGTCGGCGGTCGTTTCACAAAGCGAAACAGTTTCACAATATCAGCGTTATCGTAAGTTTTTATAGAAATCGTAATGAGCCTCGCGGCCATTATCCGAATCAGCGAAATCACAAGTTATTGTCGGATTATTTATACCGGCGTTTCCACTTTGCTTGCCCGGCGGAAGCTTCGCGTGCCACTAGCTGCAATTTCAGCCGGAATTTCCAATATGCGCGAAGCAATTACAGACCACAGTTTTAATCGTTCGTTTTCATCGAAAATTTCATTATTTTCGGCTAAACGGTTTTTGGGAAAAGATGTTGTTCGCGTATGAACGAGCTTCTTTGAACGCGAAAAATCGCGGCCACGGTCTCTATGAGCGCGTGATTCCATTCGTTTGGAACGAAATTGCAATTTGTCGTGTTACATGAAACGCGTCCACCATGCGAGGGCGAAACAACGCGCGACTTCCACGTTATATTTTCTTTTTTTTTTTTTTTTTCTTTTTTTCATTTATCGAAATCATCTGGACCAGCGTGCACGAAAAGCGAAATGACGTAAATCGAACGTTATTGAAAATATCGGAATTTACAAAGCTGATTTGCGTCGCTTTTGTGTCGTCAGATTGCGATCGTTGGGAGTTGGGGATCGTGAATACATTGCCGAACTAGCTGAGCAAATGCGACGAAAACGGGAGAAGGCATTGGTAAGCGTATATTAAGAGTTAGATTAATTTGATCAACCGTGATGGATCTTCCTCACGTTCCACGTCCGTAATGGACTTTATGCAAACTCTGCATTATTTACTTGAACGCTTGATAAACGCCAGGAAGAGCATGCTGGTGTCTCAAATGAATTATAATACAATGCCACATCAGAATGAAATGCATGTATTCTGGTATATCGATTTGTTGCTCTCAAGAAAGAAATGGAGAAATACAAAATATAAATAACAGGAACGTAGAATTAGTCACGGACAGTTCTGACGTAAAGTTGAACGAAAATCTCTGGGAAAATTTGAATAAAACATCCAAATTCATCAGCTAACAGAGAGGTGAAATAAGATTTGGAACACTTTGGATCAAGAACTCATTCAAAATTCAATAGATTCAATTTTCTCAATTTTGTTCTAGAAATTTTTTAGAAAAAAAAAAAAAAA